CCATTTACAAGTAGGATTTACATTCAGTCTAAACGAAGGCACTACAAACACGCTGGTACTTTAGTATTGGTAATTGCCAGGACCGAAGAAGGTAAGCTTTCATTCATGTGCAAGAGAAGAAAGGTGAGTCTAACTACCCGCTGAGATTTATGAACTGGGGGTGGAATGGGGATCGCTACCCAGGACAACACAAGTGCATAAATTATCCAGGCTGCATATTTGAGAACATCTTTATTTTACTGTAAATTGTACAATCTTCCAAGTCTTTTTGTGTTGTTGACAACTGGTGGATACTAGTCTGTTCTCCTGTGTGACATCACAGGGGAACTTGTCCTTATTCAGCCCTTTGTGTCTTAGGGGCTTGGGTTTCTTATCCACAAACCAGGCAGCAGATGGAAACATCGATTACTGAATTTGATGAGAGATCTTTGCAGGGTTCATCTGGGAGGAAAGTGGGAGTGTCTTTCCGGCTGTCCATCAAATCTTTTAGTGTATGACTTTGTTTTGTGTACACTGGGGAAAGTTATGCAGCACCAGCTGACACTGGAGAAGCCATTGGGGGATTGCTCCACTGAGGTGTTAAATACACACATAGCTTGGAGTTTTGTCTGTGGTGCCCTTTCCAAATAGTAAGCACCTGGACTGTGCATGGCAGAACACCTTAGAGAATCTGATCCAGTAAATCCAAATGGGTACATCTTTTGTTTGCAAACTGGTCCCAAGCAAATTCCTTGTGAATAAATGGCGCGTGCCTAGTTCATTTCTATTAAAAACAAACAAACAAAGCAAACAAGCATGCTCCAAATCATGGGAGCACACTCTAGAGGGAGAAGCAAAGGAGGATTCTGGGAAAAGCCAACTATGGATGATCATCAGGGGTCAGATACTCGGAAGCAGTATTGTCAAAATAGATTGTTAATCTCCCTTCCTCCAAGAGTCTTAACCCTCCCTATTTCAGGGATGGTTTCTGCAGGAAACTGTCTTTGGGTCTAGAGGTTCATCAACAGGTGAATGGATAAATAAAATGTGATTCATATGAACAGTGAATTTTACTCACCTGTAAAGAATGAAATTATGATCTTTTTCAAGAAAATGGAAAGAGCTTTAGAGTGTGTTAAGCAAAAAATTCAAAAACAATCAAAAAGAAAAATAATACATGCTTTCTCGTATCTCTTTATCTCTTAGGAAGCCTAGATTTTAATTGGTGTTGTATGTATATGTATGTGGGGGTGGTGCTAAGGATGACTTGAAATGTGGAGGCCTGGATCATGAACCTGGTGTGCCCTAATATTGGAATGTGGTAGCCTGTTTGTTCATGTGTCAGTTGTGGTCTAGGACCAGCATTGGCATCACCTGCTGCAGGCCTGTTCTCTCACCTGCCACTTCCCAGCTTCACCTGGTGACATGGGCTATGCTGTTTCCTTACCTGTCATGCCCCAGTACCACCACGTGGCAGCTTGGCACACCTGACATGTCCCAAATCCACTAAGTAGCAGTGTGGACGAGCCTGTTAACACACCTTCTGTGTCCCAGCACCATGTGGCACCAGGAGTGGGCCTGTTCACACATCTTCTGAATATAGAGGCACAATGTAGTCACATGGCCACACCTATTTAAGACTGTTCCATCTTTCAGTGACACACTTGGCCATGCTGGACTATCTGTTTAGAAGACTAGTCTCACCTAACGTGTGCCAGCATCACGACATGAGGGCGTGTGCACCTCTGTTTACAAGCATGCCATGTCCCAGTGCCACCTTCTGACGGCACGGCGTTCCTGTTCACACACACCTGCTGTTTCTGAGCCCCGACTCCTGACTGCATGGGCACGCCTGCTTTTAGGCATTCTGTGTCCCAGCAGCGCCACCTGGTGGCACAGCCGGAACTGTTCTCGTGCCTGCCATGTTCCAGGATTGTTCCTGCGCATTCTATGTGCCAGCGCTGTCGTCTGGTGGCATGGGGTGCCCTATTTGCACCAGGGCCACCGCACACTGGTGCAGGCACACCTGTTGATGACCCTGCCATGTCACAGCTCGGACATACAGCAGCACCGGCAAGCCTGTTGCCACAACAGTGATGTCCAAGCGCCACCACATGGCTGCATGGCACTCTGCTCTGTTAGCCTGTCGTTTCCCAAGGCTGCCACGTGGTAGTGTGGGCACACCTATGTACATACCTGCCGTGTCTCAGCATCATAACATGGCAGCATAGGTATGCGTGTCTGGGCCCGCCAGTGCTACCACTGGCCCTGGCTGCACAGGGACACTTGTTCACACCCACACTGTGTCCAGGGGCTCACACACGGTGGCACATGCATGCAATTTAACACACCTGTGGTACTCCAGTACCTCCGCATCATGGCACATTCGTGAACGCGTGCATGTCTTCTGGTTCTGGGACAGTCAAGTGCTGGAGTGGGCACACCCATTCACACGTTTGCCATGTGACAGTTCAGATATTCCTGTTCCCATACCTGCCAGGTCCCAGGCCACCACATGGCAGCAAGGCTCTCCTGTTCGTGCACCTGCCATGTGCCAGTGACCCCGTGTGGTGGTCTGAGCATACATGCTTACATATCTCCTCAGACCTAGAGCCACTAAATTGCAGGCTGCGCGTGTATGTTCATGGCTGCCATATCCCTGCGCTGCTGCTTGGCAGTGCATCACATCTCTTTGCACACCTGCTGGGTCCCAGGGCTGAAATGTGGCATTATTGCCATGTCCCGTGACTATCACATGACTGTGCAGGCTTGAAGGTACTGAACCTGCCATGTCCTGGCAAAGCTGTCTGGCAGCATAAAAGCTGATGTTTGTGCCTGCTGTGTCTCCACCTGGTGGCACAGGATGCTTGTTCATGCACAGGCTGAGTCCCAGTGATGACTTATGGTGTCACCAGCAGGCCTGGTTACACTTCTGCCGATCTGGAGCTGCCATGTGCCAGCAAAACCACACATGCTCCCATTGGTTCCACCTCCCAGTCAGTGCTGCATGGGGCGAGGACTACTCAGCTGTCACAAAGCCTCTGACTCCCCAGTACTGCCTTCTGCTGGCACAGGAACCTGCCCTTACCCACACTGTGTCCCATGCTGTGGCAATGCAGGCACAACTCTTTGTGGACCTGCTGTGTCCCAGTGCCGCCATGCAACAGCATGGCCATGCCAGTTTCCATGCGTGACAGATGTATCCAGTGCCTGCAGGCAGCCGTGTGCCTAGGCCTGCTAGTCCCAACACCATGGTGTGGGAGCAGCAGCTCGCCTGCCATGTCCAGGCCACCCTGGTGGCAGAGGCACATCTGTTTGCATGTCTGCAGGGTCACAGTGCCGCTTTATGGCAGCACAGTGCACCTGTTTCCTTGCTATCTACGCCCCTGAGCCTCTGGCCAGATAACGAATGTTACGTTTGTCCCATTCCCTAGAGCTACCACATGGCGGGGTAGGAATGCCTGTTAGCAAACACGCCATGTTCCACTGCTGCCATGCTGTGATGCTGGAACACGTTTGCACATCTGCTACATCCCAGTGCCACCGTGTAGTAGTGTGGGCATCCACATTCAAGCACATGCCGTGGTCCAATGTCAACATGGTGGCAGGACACTCCTGCTTCTGTGCCTGCCTTTTCACAGGCTGCCGAGACTGTCAAGTGGCATTGTAAGCACGCCGGCTTGTGTGCCTGCTGCGTCCGAGTGTCGTCACACGGTGGCCTGGATGCTTGCTAGTCGCTGCTGCACCCCAGTGCCACCACCCAATGCCACAGTATGCCTACTTTTGCACCCACCGTGTTCCAGCACCAACACGTGGGCAGACCTGTCTACATGGGTGTGAAGTCTGGAGTGGCACACGGTGCTGCACCCACACCGGCTTGTACCCATGCAGTCTTCCAGGGCCACCACATGGTGGTGCTGGCTTTCCTTCTGGGAATCCTGTGGTGTAGCACAAATAGTAAAAACCCAGAAACAGATACTGGGGTTCAACCTGAAGATCAGAAAAGCAAAGGCAGCCAAGCCACAAGAGAGCTCTTACCTCTTCGAAATCTTCAGACTGAAAGAGAGCGAGTTCCTTTCTCTCCTGCAGTAGGGTTAGGTCTATCCCAGTGCTTGCCATGTCGGTGTCACCAAATGGTAGGAGGGCCATGTCTGTTGACATACCTGCTATCCACACATGTGAAGGTGCAGGCATGCATGTCTGAGTACTTGCTATGTCCCAGAACCACCACACCATGGTACAGCATCCCTGCTCATGTCCCAGCACCACAGTGTGATGGTATGGGCACTTACTCATGTGCCTGCCATACACCAGTGTTGCCATATGGTTGCATGTTCCCATTTTTGCAACGTACCAGCCCTGTGGCATGACTCTCCTGTTCGCTTATCTGCCATGTAGTGCTGTCCTGTGATGGCACAGATGCACACTCTGTGACTGACACATCCCAGAGAGGCTACCTGGTGACACTACACAACACACCTTTGTGCACCTGTGCTGTGTACCAATGCTGTCATTGGGCAATAGTTACCTTTTCTATTGTAAAACATACCATGACCAAAGCAACTTAAGAGAAACCATTTAACTGGGGACTTGCTCAGTTTCAGGGGTGAATCCATGAATATCAAGGTGGGGAGCATGCAAAAGGCCATAAAATTGAGGCCATTCTTAAATTCTCTTGTTAATGAAACCACCAATATATTTCAAACTTGCCATCATTTATGACTTTGCTCTGTAAAACTTCATGAAACATAAAAAAGCATCTGCATAGAAACAGAGTTTGAGGAAACTTAAATGTGTTCCTAGGCCATGGTTACTAAAGAGGTATCTCCAAAATCAACTACCTCTTACTTCCTTTACAAAATGTATTTTATGCCGGGGTGTTTGTGCACGCCTTTAAACCCAGCACTCGGGAGGCAGAAACAGGATCTCTTTGAGTCTGAGGCCAGCCTGGTCTACATAGTTAAGTTCCAGGACAGCCTTACTTAGTGAGACCCTGTCTCAAATAAATAAACAAACAAATATAAATATTAAAAATGTATTTTATTATCGACACTAAAAACGTCAAGAGGAATTCCAATTCCCGCTGGTTCAGTATTTCTCAAACATAACCAAATGAGGTGAATAGACAATTAAGACATTTTCGTAAGTAAGGACTTAAGAAACCACAGACAATAGAGTAATTTTCTTTGGTGTAATAAAGAAACCAAAGGTATTGATTGATATTGATTCAAATAAGGTACATACCAGCAACCTTATAATTGAATTATTAGATAAAACTAAAGTGATGTAATCCTTTGTTCTTCCTGGTGAAAATTCATACAATCTCAAAAGCCCACACCAGTTCCAGTTAGCTGTCTCTACCTCTTACTTCCAGGTCAGATGTAACCAGGCATTCCACTACTGCTCCAGAACAAGCTTGCTTGCTGCCATGCTCCCCAACATAAGGGTCACAAACTCATCCTCTGAAACTGTTAAGCCCCAATGAACTCTTCTATAACACCCTTGGCCAGGGATATTCACAGCAACAGATAGGTAACTAAGACGCATACACATATATGTATATATAAAATACAACCTGCCAAGCCCATTTAGTGTTGCTCAGATTATGTATTTAAGGGTTGACCACTTGGGATTGTGTAATTGGGATTGACCAATCCTAAGTGGTCAATCCTAAACACATATAAACACACACACAAAAAGGCTTTTACCTGAATAAGATTGATTCTTAGTAGCTTTTCTTTTAGATATGGGGCCTTACAAAATTTCCTCACCTCCTTTTGGCATGCCAACTGGTACAGGTCTTGTTCATGTTACCATATTGTTAAGATCTGATGGGCGTAACTCTATCATATATAGACGACTGCATCTCCTGGCCTACATTGTGGTCCCCAGACTCTCAATATAAACATAAGAACTAATGATAGCCATGAATTAAATGTTTGGATTAAATGTACACTCATAGCAAAAACTATGTTTACCACAAAAAAGCCTTTTACATCTTTAATCATTTAGACAAACATGGCAGGTAGACAGCTAAGTGACTACCTCCATCCAATACATTCATATACAAGAGGGGGCATTTGGTCTCTGACAGCCAGACAGTGAAAGCACTTTTATAAAGGACCAATACGAACACAACAATACAGTAACCAGTGCTAGTCTTATTCCTAGGTTTCCTCTGACAAACCTTCCTATGGCACTGTTTCTGCTGACAAAGTATTTCACTACATGTCTTCATAAGAAAAACAAGATGCATACAAATAGATTGTTTTTAGACAAATATAGTTTGACAAAATATAGCTTGACAAAACAAACTAATATTTGTTTTCTAGAAAACACTAATGTTAAAATAACCAAGGTTACATATTCCTCATGTTCTTTTCTGGAAAACTGTTACATGTAAATATTTTATATGTGTGTATACATATATTTACAGGTAACTATATATGTACTGTTTAGTTTAACAGAAAATAGCATTTTAGCTTGATGTTTTACATGTCAACTACGTGTTTTTATTTTTTGCACTAAGAAAACTTGTGACACACATAGGCTTCCTACTAGCATTCCTCACAATTTACAACTTGAATGACAGAATATCTGTATGCTGCAATAAAGTTACAGAAGTCATATGACAACAAAAATCTGATGTCTGAACCTTTGCAAATGTGAAGCTACTTCTACTTGGTTTTTCATTTACACTTGAGATGAGGCACTTCAATGATTACCCAAAAGGGGCAAGTATAAACTAAAACTCTTGATGTTAATCTTGTTCTTCATTCAGGTGTGATTAACTTCAGATGGTTTGCATTATAAACTTTTATTTTTTGTCTTCCTTTTGTTCTAAGTCAACAAGACTGTGAAATACATAGAATACAAACATCACATATCGGTTACTGTGCTCACAAACAAATGAACTGAACATTACCTGACAACACAAGTTTCAGAAGAGGGCTACTTCAACACTAAAACTTCCACAGCTTTATCATAACCGTGTATAAATACATTAGTATTGAAAGGGCAAATCTCGGCACTATTTCTAGATAAGAATGTCCTCAAATGCATTAACTGAATTACAAGCTATAATCTTACATATGCTTTTAAAATACTGAATTAAAAGATAAATGCATAGGGCTGGAGCAGCAGCCCTGTAGAGGCCTACATTCAGTTCTCAAGCATCTGTCACTCCTATTCTTGAGGTTTTGATGCTCTTCCAGTCTACATATACATAAATATACACACAGAGAGGAGGCCAAACACATTTTGCACACATGAAATAAAAAAAAACATTAAATTTTCCAATATTTTAGTCTAATGTTCAATTGTAAGGTTAAAAAAGCACATAAGAACAAATATTTTGTTTAGCCAGTTTTTTGTAAAAAATCGTTAAAACCATTTAGGACGACTCACTTTCAACCTTAAATTGTATTCTGTATCTATGTATTTATAGTGAATGTTTGGTGAATTTAATTAATAAATATTAGATTAGATACTAAATTCCCATTTTTCCATAAATTCATTGTATTATATTTTGCCAACTGTCTGAATTCAATATTAATACCTTTATTATTAAAGAAAATATCTGACTCTAAGTTTTAGGTTTATACAAAAAGTTAAAATCTTGACATGAGACCAGGTTTGGTGGTACATGCCTACGATCCCAGCCTTTGGGAGGTAGGCACAAAAGGGTATAAATGATGAGGCTAGTCTATGCTATATAGCAAGACTCTCCCCTAAAAACAGAACATTTGTAGACCTGTTAACTACCAGTGATAGATAAGATCAGTGGCTGTTTATAATTTGAGGAAATTTATAAAGCCTAGATATACCCAAATATCTTTTGATAAAATACAAAGTCAATACTCACTCGAACATGGTTATTCCAAATCCATGCATCAAAACATTCCACATGTGTAGACACATTTCAAATCCATGTATCAAAACACTCTACATGTGCAGACAGTGCTCTTAATTCCTCTAACATTCTATTCCTCTAGAGACAGACTAGCTTGTAGCCAATGGGATTTCAGACACAGCTCTTCTAAAACAAAAAGTTAGCCAATATTCAAATAAAAACAAGAGAGAGAATGCATTTATATAGAATGACAAAATTTAAGCTTGGCAAAAGTACTGACTTTTATTATTTACAACTGCATGTATCAAGATTACAATAGAAACACTAGTGATACCATCTGAACAAAAGCAATGATTTATTGGTAATGGCAACAAATAAAAGATTAACAGTTTCCGAAGAGAATCAAGCAATTATCCAGGAGCTGCAAATCTGACTGCAGTTAAGTCTTCCAGTGTCTTTTGTACCCTAATGACTTTCTCCTTTTTTGCCAACTACCTAGAAAAACAAAAATAAAAAAATTATGTACAATTTAATGATTCTAAATTATGTTTTAAAATAATACTAACATGGTAATAATTTCAAATGACTTTAGTCCTTTTGTCCTGGTATTACTTTTTAATCCTTGAACCTTTTCTGCATGCACTGTGCTTGTATTGTGGCAGCAAACTGTGACGCCCCTCCCTCTAAACACAAGGAATTAAACACATGCAAGCTATTTTTGGTTTCCCATTCTGTTTTAAGTAATATAATTTTTCCAAACCAGGTTGACAGTTTAGAGAAGTTAATAATAATAAAAAAAGATGCTATCAGCAAAACAGTCTTAGTGTACTAGTTTTAAGCAATTAGAAATCAAATGTCAATTACAAAATCTGTATTTAAAAGAATACATTAAATTCATGTCTTCATATCAACTGATGGGTTTCTAGGCATTTCCTTCAATATGTAAACATGAAATGAAAACAGAATGAAAATTATGAACTCTTTTCTAGCTTTTAAAAAAACCTGGTTGCTAGAAATAGACTGTAAGAAATGTAAAAAATAAACTGTGCATCTGAGTGATTAAAAAAAATCTATCTAGTCCTGAAGTCTGTAAAAATACCTGATTCCTATAAATGTAGTGCCCCAAAATAAATAAATGAATAACAAAGCAAAAAGAACCTAGTGTCTACTAGTAAGTCATGAAAACAGGTTCTCTGTTGGTTCTGTGGTAATTTATCTAAAGAAGAGTTTATCATTAGTTAATATATTTTCACAGCATAAATATCTCAAAAAATCCCTCTATAATGTACTACATACTATACATATACACACATACATATGCATTAATAAAAGTGATTCTGTTCTTAATGGTAATGTCTACAGGTTACTAATACGTGTCTGGTCTATAACAGAAAATAGCTAGGTCAATACCATTCATAAAAAAATACTTAAAAACTATTTCCATTGAGAATTATTAACCACAGAAAGTAATGTTTTTAATTTTTGTTGTAGTTTTTTTTTTCCCTCAACCAGGGAAACGTTTCAAGAAATTCCTCTTTGGTCCATGCAAACTATGGTAAACTAGTTCAGAAGTCCAAGGGACAATAGTGTCAAAAAGAGAAAAGTGGACAAGAGTAAGAAAAACGGGGCTTTAAAATACACCAGAATGCAGGGGAGATGGTACCACCTGTACCATAAGTGAATTTTAGCTGACAGACAATAACAGCATTATTGACCACTATATTACTTAGGAAATGCAAAACACAGAGCTATTAGATTAAGCAAAAGAAAACAATTAATATCATAACAAAATTTTAGAAGATGTGATACAGCAGAAGATGCAAGTCTGCATACTGTTTCACAGGGTGACAACTCTCAACTTGCCAATATGTATTCTCTGTAAAAAAAGAAGAAATTCAGCATTCCATGCGGATTCTTACCCCAAACATAAAGCTCTTTCATTCTGTTTTAAGTCTTTATGTTACATCTCAGATAAACCAAAGTCTAGGTACATCAAAATTAGATGTTAAAAACTTTCATTCAGTAAAGAATCCATTGGTCTTCTGCATTAGTTTTAACCCATCCTGTTTAGTCCATACATTCTTCAACTGGACTTGAGCTCACATGGGTAAGCATGAGAGAATACAACCACAAAAAGATTTTGTGGCAAATGTTCCAATAAGAAAATTCACAATTTGCAACTAAAACCAAAGGAGTATGTAACACTGCTCTAGTTAGAAAAAAAAAAAAGAACAAAAAAGTTATATTTACTTTCCAAAACAATTCTCCTGTTCCTAAAATATAAAACTCTAAAATGGATAAAAATATTACTCAACTAATTAAGCTTGAAAGCACTTTTAACATAAGTTTTACTCTAAAATTATTTCTTAAAATATTGAACAAAATTAAATAGAAAATAGCAGAAGGTTAAAAAAAATAAAACTGCCTTGTGAGCAACATAATATGGTAAGAAAATTAAGGCACCTATAATTGCAAGCAAAATAAAGAGCCAACTGAGAGTCATGAGTGGGATGAAATCTGAAGGAAGAGGTGGTTGAGGCAATCTAGGTAACAAGAAGGCTGATCCAGATGCTGAAGCTGAAGAAATCTCGCAGCAACAATTGAGGACATGGGGAGGGTGAGAGTAGGTAGGTGACAGATGAGTAATGAAGCAAGGAAGGGGTACAACGACACAAAGTCTATCTTTATATTACTTCATTAAGAAAGAAAATCTTCCAGTTTTAGTTCATTGAGTTGTATTAAAAAAGCTGAAAAATAAACAAATAGAAATATTATAAAAATAGCGTATGTGGTAAATGGCCAGTTTAGAAAAGTCTACTTTATAAAAAGTGATAAAAACATGGTCTACTTTTTACATGCACCTTGTTACCTAAGAAGCAAAAGCCCCAATTTTGTCACTTTTGCACACCAGTGTTTTAATATAACGCAATCTATGTAAAAAGCCTACTTTAGCACAGAAAATATTTACTCTTAATTAAAACTGCAAGCTTTTCATGCTGTACCATGAAGAATGCATTTACAGCAAATAGCCAAGTATGCACGATGCCTTTGAGGGCCAAAACAGACAAATAGAGGGTGTTTTCTACTCTAGCAAATCTAAAGCTCTAACAACATGCAAAGTCATCTAACGTAGCTATCCACAACCAAGATGTATCCATATTACCTTCGCTTCTGTCAACTTAGTGACGTAAAGGGAGGTCAGTGACATGCTGAAAACTAAAATCATCTACAAAGAACTCACACACAGAAGATATACACTGAAAATACTTAAAACTTTCTATTTCACGATCCATTAAATCATTTTACATAGATCTCTCTCCTCACTGTAGAAAAGTTATCAAACCTATCTTCACTGAATATAGGATACACACTAAATATACTTTGAAAATTTAAAAATCATAACATAGATCCTTTTAATTTCAGATTAAATTGTCAAAGGAAAGATGGTTGTGAAGGCTGGAAACACGAGACTACTGTAACTGTCTGTTATGCTTATATTGCCCTGAAAGAACACAATCCAGTTACAAACAGGGAGAATGACTGCCGTGACAAGGTAATACAGGAGCAGGAAAGTCAAATGCATTACTGTTCCAAAGTTAGAATCCAAAACTCATCGAAAGTTAGTAACAAACTCTGTAAAAGGAACAAATAAGCCAATCTCACATAAATCCTCCTATGCTTTTCTGCATTCAAGTTATTGTTTCTTAAATATAAAAATAACCCTAAAAGAAAATGAGTGACTGCAAGCAGAATAAATCTTAACCAGAAGCAATTAAAGAAGCAATGTAATATTAAAATGCTTAATATAGCCAAGAAAAGCATTCAACCAATTACAATTTAATTTTGAAATCAAAGGACTCAGAGTCCTGTTCTTAAATTCTTATAGCAATTCCAACAGTGCTGCTAGGGACCCTAAAGCTGCTCACTGAGGACACCTACGGCATAATACTAAGCATTTATTTACTTGTTAAATTCTCTTTCTCTTTCAAATACGTATTTTGTTTTCAATGGAAACAATGGCTGAGTACAAAAACAGATATTACCATAACTCTATTAGGCTAGTAAAGAAATTCATAAAAACATAAAGCTGAACTTCTCTTATTAAGTGTTTTTTCATTTCGAAAAGGGGTTTGAGTTTTTAAATTTTATTTTAAGTGTGTAAGTGTTTTGCCTGTATGTATATAGGTGGAAGGTGTGTGTGCCTGGTGCCAGCAGAGATCAGAAGAGGATGTCTGAAGCCCTGGAACTGAGTTCCAGACAGGTGAGCCACCAAATCGAATCTGGGTCCTTTATGAGAGCAACAAGTGCTCTTAATACTAAACTGCCTTTCCGTGTCATGGAGAATGTACATTTCATTAGAAATATCACTCCTAATTTATAATGAATTTATTAATTATAGTTTTTTTTTTTTTAATTCCCAGTCTATTTTTGTTAAGGTCCCATACTGGTAGCAATCACCCTCTCTCAGGCAAACTTGCAGGAAAGCGGGGTGGAGGTGGGGCCTGAGGGGGAAGAGCAGGATAGGTGATATGAAGTGGGAAATGGGAAGGGACTCCAAACAGGGAGGCGGGAGACCAATTCCAACGTGGTTTGATAATTAAGGAATCATATTTTATATTTGCCTAATATTATACAAAATGTATATTAGCGTACACACACATCATAAAAGAAGTTAAGCTACTTGCACTAACAATGCTCCCAACAAGAACCACAGACTAACAAAAATCTCAGTACCAGACTCAAGAAACCTTTGAAGGCTTGGTCAGTGTAGTCCAAATGACTACCAAAACCAGATTACCATGTGGCCCTTGGTTATCTCTCAGGGGTTGAAATTCAGACCCTATTACTGAAAACCACACATTGAGTGAGGATACATGACTCAAATGACTTGAGCTGGATCTAACCTGAAAGCCTCTTCCTGTGGTCTAACATTCATGATTCCAGAAAATACTATCAAAACTATCAGAGGAAGGAAGCAATTAATTAGCCCTATTTAGCTGCAACACCTATAAACCACAAGTACCACACGGCAAGAAATGCATACAAGTGCAAGAAGTGGCATTCACATGTTGGTTGCAACCAAGAACTGTCAGTTTCCCAGGGCTAGTGAGGTCACAGATCTTAGAAAACAATCCATTACTGACATTTTGTTAGACCAGCATAATCCTTCCCACATTCTAAATCTTATCCTTACATCCTCATGTAAGTGTGGACACCATATTTCACCAAAGCTTTTCCTTACATAAAAAGAAAACGAACACAATGCAGAGATCATGGGGAGCCTGCTCCAGTGGATATGTCTACATCAGAGCTCTTGAATCTCCGGTTGAGGGAACAATGTGGAAGGGGGGGGGGGGAGATTCTAAGAGACACTGTTGCAAGTCAGCTGTAAAACAGTATCCTAGAAAAGGCTGTATAAACAAGACAGGAACAATAGCAAAAATCAGTGGGCCTTTTAATATGGAAGGATCCATCTCACAGACAAAGCACTACAGGGAACTATTGACTTCTGGCAGAAGAAAACTTGGCCTCTCCCACAGATGAGTTGTCTGTTCCATGCCGAGTAGTCAGGTTTAAAACCATATACATGCAAAGAACAAAAATGGTACAGCTGGTTGTAAAAAAAATAGTAATAATATATATGAGTATGTAATAATAAATAATAATAAAAGAGGCTATAAAATTGAGATTGAGTGTGTGTAGAAGCCTGAGGGAGGGTTTTTGCCAATGGACTTAAAAATAGGAGGGGACTGAAGGAGTCAAGGAGGAAAGATATTGATATAATTCTCTTTTACTTAAAAACATTAAAAATATTGTTGCTAATATATAATGGACTTATTAATTGTAATTTAAAATTGTTCCAATTCCACTTTTTCTTTCTGAATCTCACTCTTAAACCTAGGAGGCCTCAAACTTGATAGCAACCATAGTACCTCAACTTTCCAAGAGCTGAAATAATTATGATCCACTCTATCAGGATTCTCAGGTCAATTTTGATTAAATAAATGTTAATAAAACTCTTCTTGATCCTCACTCACCTTTCATATTTTAAATGATACCTGATACTGAGAAGTTTAAGAACTGCTACTTTTAATGTAAAATCAATTTAAAAAATAAATTAAAAAAGAACTGCTACTTTTTCATGATTTAAATAAGGTGGAAAAGGTAAAGTAAACAAATAATATAAAAAAAAAATTCCTAAGCAAGTGCACCTCCTAAAAGCAGCTTTGGCAGTCAATGAGAACAGACTAAGTGACTAGATGGATGTGAGACAAATACTTAAGCCAGTTAATAAGGCAAACCAGAAAGATTACAACTGAATAGCTGACTGGTAAAAATGCAGAAGCGAATGTTACTTCCATTAAAACAAGTTGAGTAAGCATAAGCTGAAAGTACAATAGGATACTGACACAAAACTTAATGACAGGAAGACATTAACCTGGCTTACAGTAACAAATCTTACAAAAGAAGCTGGTAACAAACTGCAACAAACAGTTAAAACCAATGCCAATGGAATTCCATTCAAGCCAGAAAAGCAGACAGCCAGACCATCTCTGTTACCCACACATTTTCACTGGAAAATAAATCCTATAGGGTAAAAATAAAGCTGCTTGATACCTGCTTCTTCTGACCAAGCATTATGCACATACTAAACACCTGGGTACATCATCATTCCTACAGCTCCCAGAACTTAATTATGCTATGAGATAGTAAGAGTGACTGAAAAATAACCAGCAAAAGTATGTATTATCCAAGCTTTCTTTTTTTTTTTTTAACCCAACATGTATCTCGTAGAACCAACCACTGTTAAACAATTTAACTAATTTTCTATAATTAAATCAGGTCTGCAGATATCATCAAAAAGAGAGAGTTTTTAGGATCTTCTAATTCCATAAAACAATTCCTTGTATAAAGTATGCTGGGAACTTCCTCCTCCATGAACTGGGAGCTCTAAGGAAACTCATCCCTGCTAATCAGCTCAAGTCCTAAACCACTGGCCAAGTGCAGTCAGCCATTCTCATGTGACCAATGTTTCCTGTGCGGTCACACATTTCCTCATATACCGCTGTAGGTTTATACTGCTATAGGTTGTATACTGCTGTAGGTTGTATACTGCTGTAGGTTGGCATGAAGACAGCTTTTAGGAGCACCTCATGATCTTGCTTTGTGTATTAAGCACCACCCACACAACTGCTACTAATAAGAAGCTGCCCCAGAAAGTATGAGAACAAGCTGACTTTGTTCCCCAAAGTCCTGGATACCTGGTAAGTTCCATGGAAACCTTCAGGGCTACACATTATACATAATCACTTTAAATGTATTTGCTAAAATGTGTCCTTTTTTTTTGTTTTGTTTTGCTTTGTTTTGTTTTCAAGACAGGGTTTCTCTGTGTAATTGTCTTAGCTGTCCTGGAACTCACTATGTAGACCAGGTTGGCCTCCAACTCACTCAGATCTGCCTGCCTATGCCTCCCAAGTGCTGGGATTAAAGGCAAGTGCCACCACTGCCTGTCTGTAATGTGTCATTTTAAGACACATACAATGCTTGGAAAATTATAACATATCCATATGTTAAAGTTACTCAAGTCATTGTAAATACATTTTCATTTTTTGTCATCTGAATCCTTAAACATCTTACTATGCCTTTCAAGCAATAATTTAATTATAATTTCTCTATTATTCCTAAGCATTTTTGTAATCAGACTATTATTTTTACTCAGATATCATTCATTAACATTTATTCTATCAATTTAGAGTTATATTTACTGAAGATTTCTTTTAGTTACATATCTCAACATGTAGCATTCATTTAACCTTCCATGAGATAGTTTTGAATCTTTATGTTTAAAGTAATGACAAATAAAATATAAGAAACTATTCCTTTGAAACTGTATTTGTATTTTCCTTAATTATCATTTGAACAAACTTACTCGTTTGAAGTCATTCATATTTGTTGCCTGCACTGGAGTACCAATGAAAGTAAAATATGAAATTCTCGTTGTCTCTTCTTCACCTTGATTAGACTGAACGAATAACTACAAAAAAAAAACAAATCACATTTATAATTTTTAATTACAATCTATTTTTAATGAGCATGCTTAGATTTAATTTGCTTTCTTAATAAAAAATACCTTCTACCTTTGTAAGAATTAATCACGACTTCAAAACACACTAGTGTTCCTAAAAAAACTGCCCATTCCCTGTCTATACTGCAAATCTCACCTTCTCTAGAAATGCCCTGGCAAGACGCCCACATCCGGAAGTTCACAGCAGTTTAATGTGATGGTATAGAGAAGTCATAATTAAATCCTTTACAGAGAACACTGAAAAAGTGTGAAATTCATGATTACAATGGGTAGACTGCTGTTGATAATTTCATTAAAATCAGAGTCTTTCAACTATGGAAAATCTCTGTAGTTATATTCTTTCTCATATTCAAGCACCCATTCTATTTCCTTGAATACAAGAAGAAATGATAGTGGAAATCTGTTCCTAAGGCTATGCTCTGGCCTTTGATGTGTTTGAAAGCCTGACTCTAAATTCTTTTATTTTAAAATTTCCCTCAGTATATAAAGAATAGAAGCAAAAAAAAAATCCTCCATTAAAAAAATACAATAATGTAAAAATGTTCTCTGTTTAAAAATATTGTCTCTCACTGGACAGCAAGCACAGGGCCTGCACGAATCTGCACTAGGTCCTCTGCATTATGTATCATAGCTGAGGTTTAGTGTTTTTATGGGTGAGTGAGTGAACAAGTGGGTCTAATACTTATGCCTTTTCTTGGGTTCTTTTCCTTCTGTTGATTTGTCCTGTTCAACTTTTGTTTGTTTTTTTCTGTTTGTTTGGTTTTTTTTGAGACAGGGTTTCCCTGTGTAGCCCTAACTGTCCTGAAACTCACTTTGTAGACAAGGCTCGCCTTGAACTCACAGAGATCTGCCTACCTCTGCCTCTGGGATTAAAGTGCTGGGATTAAAGGCACTGCCTGGTGCCTGAACAATTTAGACATGATGGTTTTTGTTTTACCTTATTATATTTTATTTTGTTATGTTTTGTTGTTATCTTTTAGAAGCCTGTTCTTTTCTAATGAGAGACAGAAAGGGGGAGAATCCAGGTAGGAAGGGAGGTGGGAAGGAACTGTGAGGAGCAGAGGGTGGGGAAACTGTAATCGGGATATACTGTATAAGGAAAAAAAAATTTCAATAACAGGAAAAAATGCTGTCTCTCTTCACTTATAAAACGAATGTTATTACTTCTAAGACATTACTTATCAATTTTATTGTTTTCATAGGCAACCCTAGACTCCTTTCAAAGAGTTAATCAATTTAAATATAATAAGTACAATATTAAATCAGTCCCCAGTTTATTTTAAATGCAAACACTCCTGTTTATTGTGTTTCTACTTATTTTTAAAATCTTTCTTTGATTAAACTGATCAAAACTATTACTTTCATCCAATGTTCATCATCACAAAAGTAATAGGTACGTCTTACATGTCTTTACTTAGATCACTGACTAGAGGTCTGGATATAATGCATAGTGTTTGGAGCAACAGTGTTCTACTATTATGTGACCTTTGTCTTAAACTTCATTTAGACAAAATGTCTCAGATAATTAAAGCTCAGCTTGTTCACACAGCTTTAAACGATCACAGAAACTGCCCATGTCCATTGAACCCTCCTGAAAAGAACTTAACAGTGTTCTCTGATTATCCCTCGATACCAAGGCATCACATCAGTCTGGCACAGCTTGAGTCAGAGCTCTCTGGCTGAGCTCTCCTTTCATTCCACTCAAAACCATCTCTGGCAGTATCCGACATCCAGATACACCTTAGCTGTGTCTTAAAATGTAAGACCATCTTTGCAAAAGGTCATTTTTAGCTGGACACAGTGACTCATGCCTACAATTTCAGAACTTGGAAGGTTGAGACAGAAGGACTGTTGTGAGTTCCAAGCCAGCGCAGGCTGTATAGTACATTTTAGGCCAAAGTGGGCTAGAGTGAGATTCTATTTCAAAAAGAAAAACAAACAAACAAACAAACAAAAAAAAATCCTTTTTTAAAAGCTAGCTTTAGTAATACTATAGTAACTACACTGAAAGACTAAAATTTGAAAAATTAAACAGAATTTTTACACGGGTACTAACACTTATCACCAACTGAGATAGAGTAATCATAAATATCTCCAGCTTAAACAAACGGACAAATCCCATGAATCTCCTCCATTCCTCAAGTTTACCAGGAAACTTACTTTAAACAATCATTTAGAATCACCAAGGACACAGAAGACAGCCCTGCTGTTCACCAACTAGAGAAGATACATTAATGAAATGCACTCACAGTTACACTGTTAACATTCTGAAATTTAACATAACGAAGAGGAACAATGCCATCTTCTTTAATGTCATCTTCTGTCAGTTCCAGAGCTTGAGTTGGCTCACTCCTTTCTGCCTCCTCAAAATCCATAGATCGGGGTAGGTTGATAAAAATTTTTACATATTTAGGACCTTGACCTATAAAATGGTTTAAAGAAAGAATTGAAGTGCTAAAAGTACAAACACACTATATTTTCCTATATCATCAATGTATCATATACAGAACCTGTGTAGGACCACATATATATGGACACATAACAACATACAAAACTTCAAAACCCTCTACTAAAAGTTCTAAAAATCTGAATATTGACAGTCAATCTTTTTCCTAATTTGCTGATATCTTTTTAGCCCAGTTTCATTCTACATTAGAATATCTGCTAAATATTAGGAATAAACACACACACGAGTATACACATGCATACATACATAGTTTCTGCCTTCAGTGCCAAAAGCCACACTAGGAGTTGGTGTGGTGGGGCACGCCATTAATCCCTGCATTGGGAGGCATAGGCAGGCAGATGTACATAGCAAGCTCCAGGTCAGCTAGGGCTACATGGTGAGATTCTGTCTTAAAACAGAAAGAAAAGTTACACTATAATAAATACAACATTATCAGTGAGGAGCTACATGGAAGGTGGCAATGGATTTTGATAGTATATGCAGGTGAACAACCTTTTATAAAATAAACAATATACTAAGTTTTATGGTTGCCAACAACTGGCATATTTTGTTACCCTCGAGGAAAACATCATTAGCATTAACACTTATCCAAATAGAAATTAATCATAAATTAGCATATCTTACTTTTCTTAGATATTAGATAAGGAATATGCCCATTTTAAACCACTTAACTCCTTCACTGCCAGGATATGACTTAAAACTCAGATATGTGGCTGATTTAATCATACTAATTTCCATAGAATTTATCTACCAAGTACTTCATAAAATTTTATTATTGAAAACTTACTAACATAAGAAAGTATATAAAAACAAACACGTAGACATTATTAAACAAAGCCTTGGCCAGGCATGGAGGCATACGCCACCTTTAATCCCAGCACTCAAGAGACCTGGCCAATCATTATTTTTGATTCTAAAAAAATTATTGTTAAATATCTAGAAATGAGAGGAAGAATCAGCACTCTGTAAATTAAGGGGGAAAATAAATTTTTACTTTAATTCTTAATAATTCCACATTACTTGGCCATTTATAATCTTCAATGAACACATGAAAGAACGACCTCTATTTTTCAGTTCCCAGCAACCACATGGTGGCTCACAACCATCTGTAATGAGGTCTGGTACCCTCTTCTGTCCTGCAGGCATACACACAGACAGAATATTGTATAAATAAATAAATAAATAAATAAATATTTTTTTAAAAAAAAGTTTTAAATGTAAGCTAACAGGCTTAACAAAATAGAAAGTCAGTTTTCAATTAACCGTCCTTTACTCACCATTATCTGGTCCTTGAAATTTCATGGAATACAGCTTAACAGGTTGGTTGAATGCCACAGTAATAAGTAGCTGTGAGGGAAACAGTTTCAGCAAAAAATGACTTGTCAACACCATGAATAAAAAAAAAAAAAGGCTAAGGGGAGCTAACATAAAGGTGGCACAAATCTAGCTCTTCTAACAAAACCATTGCAATAAAGAGATTCTGTATGCTGAAATTAACTTCATTAGTTTGACAGTTAAGAACAGCCACTATCAATTACTTATGTAAAGAATGGCAGAAAAAATAACTTAGGTAAAGGAACTTAAGATCTAGATCTGGGGCTGGAGAGAGCACTGACTGCTTCTCCAGAGGACCAGCATTCAATTCTCACACCCACACAGTTGCTCACAGGCATCTGTAACTCCAGTCCCGGGGATCCAACACCCTCTTCTTGCACCTCCAAGGGCACCAGATATAATGTGATACAAAGACATAAATGCAGATAAGACACCCATTTGCATAAGATAAGTATTTAAAAAAAAACCCTAAGATCTTATGAACTACAAACTGGCAAGTAACATACATTCCCACAAATGAAACAAAATTCTCAAAATAAATGTAGTTCTGAAATTACTCTCTGAAAGTACCCTCTGGTTACTCAACTTACTTTTTACACTTGACTTATTAATAATGTGTCCAAACAACAAGCATGACATGTGCAGGAGCTGAAATGCTGGGAAAAAGCAGGTGAGAGGGAAAGCTAGAAAGAGCAGGTCAGCAAGACATCCGAAAGATGACAGCAAAGAGTCATTAACTCTTACAAGAAGACGCAACAAACATGCAGACTTCAGACTTTATAAACTTTGGTGCCCGAGTAGAAGAGAAAAATTTCCCACAGAGTGGAATAGGGAGTAAATTAAGGAAAGCAACACCCAGAAGATAAAGATGATGTGATAGGTGGTTACCCTTCTTTCTCCGTGGCAAAAGCAACACAGGGGAAAGAAGAAAACAGTGTTTTTATCTGGGACTAAGCAGACAGTCTTCTACGGGAAGGCTTATCTAGCCAATCGCTACTGCTCAGACACAAACTATCTGGATAGGAAAAACACAGAAAGCAGTTCTTAAAAAACGACCAAGTGATGGTGGTAATCTAAGCAGCGGTGGGGCCAATCATGAGCGCTGCAATGTTCTTCAGAGCACATGGCACCTCACACAGAAAGGAGCTGGATCTGGACAGTGATGGGATAGGAGTCAGAGGGATGTAGTCATAAGGAGAACACTATAGAGAAACAAGAGCACGGAGAATGACAGTGCCTACTAGCTTTAACATAGGCGCCCAATTACCTGCTCATCACAGTCAGATTCCAAGAAGGACATGTCTTTTCGTAAACAGTTGTCAAAGCCATGCTCATCACTTTCATTAAGACATTCACAACCAGCTTTGTTAATAAAAGGCATTAAATCCATCTGAAACAAAAGAAATAAAAAATTTAGGCAAAGCACTTAGCTTTAGCATAAAAATTATAAAGACTCAGATCTATGATTCTAGATTTAGCAATTTTGAAGAAAATGTTTGTTTTAAAACAGTTACTGAAATTTTTATAATGGTCTTTTCCTTTGAATTTCTGACCGAAATCTATCACTAATTATTAAAGCAAAATCTAGGCTTACCCTATATGGTAAAGTATTAGAAATCCAACTTTGAGGTCTCAGTGTTGCCCAGGACACTTACTACAAGGAGCTTATGAATTGTAAGTATATATTTTGTGTATCCCAGAAGCCTCTCAAGGGGACCCAGGACACTTGTAACCAGTACTTGGGAAGCAGCTATAAGAAGCACAGGGCTGAGGCTCCACCTTGGGCACACAGTGAGTTTGAGGTCAATCTACATGAGACCCCCATCTCAAACAAAACCAAACCATACACAGCAAAAATAAATGTACACCAAAAACAACAACAACAACAACAAAAACCCCACCAAACCAAAAGAAGCTAACAACACCAACAAATCCGATCATCAAAAGATGATCTCTGTCTCCAGGACTTCATGAGAGGGCAAATCCTAAGAGACAAGGACAAGCTAGCAAGCATCAACAACCTAATCCTATTCGCCCTAAACAGTACTCTGTATGAGCCCCTATGGGCCCCTCCTCCTTTCATGACATCCAGGTAAGAGCAGGGTTCTTTTTTTTTTTTTTTTTTTATTTTCGAGACAGGGTTTCTCCTTAGCTTTTTGGTTCCTGTCCTGGAACTAGCTCTTGAAGACCAGGCTGGCCTCAAACTCACAGATCCTCCTGCCTCTGCCTCTGCTGGGATTAAAGGCGTGTGCCACCACCGCCCGGCAAGAGCAGGGTTCTTATAGTATTTTCCTACGCTTTCCTTAGTCTTAACTGTGTTTAAGATGTTTTACAGAGTATATGGCTTCCTGTGAGATACTTAAAGTCTGACCCAGGGATGATCCAAGGTGGGCAGACCCACACAACCTCAGTTCAGGTCCTGGTACTATAAGGACTAAAATCAAAGGTGATCGTGAAATTACCACATTAGTAGACTCTTACTAGCTTAGCTATAGATAAAACCCCCTCAAAGCAGATCATAGAGCACAAGATCGTAAGTAATGTTTTAGGAATTTAGAAGTTGCTTTTCTTTAGGTCAAACCAATTAAAAGCACTAACACTGCAGTTGAGTCTGGACAAGTGTACCCAGGGAACTTCTCTGTCTAATCATTTCTGAACACAAGCACTATGAACTCACACAATGTAACTACACTGCAGAAAACACCACTTACTCCACCTCCTCTTTCCTCCAACCCATTTCCCAAGTGTTAGAACTACTTTATCCCAAAACCATCCTCAGGGGCCAAATTAGAAACCTGTCTTCTAGTCTTCATGCTTGGTTAACTTGTAAATAAACTTTATCTTTCTCAAAACTTGCTTCAGCACACCAGAAGAATAGGTATCAATGACCTAGTTCAGTAATTATCAACTCCAACTCAAAAAATTTACACTTTCTAATTGGGTGCTATTTTAAATAAATACTAATGGTATAGGCTAACAGAAAATAAAGATTCCCACACACAACATGCACACAAAGATAAGCTGTCATGTCTACCTGACTAGTTTTTCAGCTTGAATTTAAAGGGTTTACAGACAGAAATACACTGGTTTGCTTTACTGTACCAAATATAAACTTTTTAATGTAGTAACTTCAACTTGAGAAACAAGTGAGGACCATAAAATACTATTTCTAAACTCTGCTTCCTCCCCGAACAATCTCAAACCATGCAAAACTGCACTAGAACTATTTATACTATGTAGATTAGAAATATTATCCTTTGAGTTCTTCAGCCTCCATATCCATTTAAAAAAATAGTACCCTATTGTTAAAATACATTTAATACTAAAGTTACATTTGATTCTAAGCCAAACAAAAATAGACTGTAGGAGGTTGAGTATAAAGGACATTTTACATAACTATAAAAATGAGAAGTGCTTTCAATGCCATGTTCTCCACTCACGGAAGGGAGGCACGCACTAGAATTATTTAATAGTTTAGAAATCAATTTCGAGTGACAAAGAATTTAGCAAAAGAAATTTAGGGGAATGCGATTTACAATGTAGATTTATGGTTATAACAGACCAACAAAACTCAATAGCCCACTTTAGTTTGAAAAAATTTTGAATTAATAAGAAAACAGTAAATTTCAATTCAACCAAGTAACACCAAATTTAAGCTACTGATCTTGCTCTTCTGATGACATACATAGCCCTTCGGAATGTCCGTGTCCTCATTGCTTCCAGGATCATTTTCTAGATGCTGCTTGATTTTCTCTTCTAGTCCCACAGCATCTGCTCCTTGATACTGATCGATTCTCACTTTGTTTCGAAAAAACAAAAATGTAGGTGTTGCTGAGATGTTGTTCGTGGCAGCTGTTCCCTACAATAGGAAAATTAAACAGTGAAAAAAATTAAAACAAATCTTATACCATTTTGATTTTTCATTCTACAACTTTAAGCAAATTAAAATAGCACAAGTCCTAACCAGAAATGTAAAACAATGTGCTCCTAATTATTATTTAAGAAAGAACAGATTGGGCTGCAGAGAAGGTGGTTCTTCCAGAGGATGGGAGTTCAATTTCTAGCATCTACATGGCAGCTCACAACCACCTATGTGACTCCAGTTCCAGGAGATTCAATTTCCTCTTGACTCTGTAGGACCCAGGCACTCATTACTCAGTCAGGCATGACAAATGAAAAAAAAAATTTAAAGGCAGCCCTACAAAGGAGTATCTGCAGAGACACAGCTACATTACCCATACACCCACATAGAAAACAGCTGCCCCGGCCGGGCGGTGGTGGCGCATGCCATTAATCCCAGCACTCGGGAGACAGAGGCAGGCGGATCTCTGTGAGTTCGAGACCAGCCTGGTCTACAGAGCTAGTTCCAGGACAGGCTCCAAAGCCACAGAGAAACCCTGTCTCNAAAAAAAAAAAAAAAAAAAAAAGGGAAAGAAAAAAGGAAAAAAAAAAAAAACAGCTGCCTTTGCCTCTTCAGACATTAGTTCTACTGTCATATACTTTACCCACAGAAGAGCTACCTTCTAATAATAGCAGAAATTGCGCTTTATGGTAAGCAGCTTTCTTATAATTTCACAGCATGAATTTTACAAAAAGAAATAACCAAAGGCTGAGCATGGTAGTGCCTTTAACCCCAGCACTTGGGAGACAGAGGCAGGCAGATCTCTTGAGTTTGAGTCCTCTGGTCCTACACAGAGAAATCAGGTCAGCCAGGGCTAAATAAGACTGTCTCAAAAGAAAACAAACAAAAATAAGGAAAGTAATGATGAGTCAAAACAAACCACTGCTGCTAAGAAAAAGTATCCACCTAAAACAGAAGAGCCAATCTATACCACCTGTCAAAGAAAGGGACATGGCAATGTTTTCTGTCTTGGAAAAGGGGCGTGTTCATCCATTTTCTACTCTTACAGAACTGATTTCGGGTCATCATTAAAATAATAGCTATCCTTTTAAGTTTTGCTCTAGTTCTACCCTTTAATACTGAATGAAAATTAATAATAACCAGAGCACCCTATTTAAACTTTTCGGCCGGGCAGTGGTGGCGCACGCCTTTAATCCCAGCACGGGAGGCAGAGCACAGGAATCTCTGAGTTCGAGACCAGCCTGGTCTACAGAGCTAGTTCCAGGACAGGCTCCACAGCCACAGAGAAACCCTGTCTCGAAAAAACAAAATAAAATAAAATAAAATAAACTTTTCATGATAAGACTTAAAAACCAACACAGCAAGTCTGTCCTCTCACATATGTAGATTGTATAAAGAGGTACAGAATACATATCATTCAAAGAAAAAAAGCATAAAGGTAACCAAGGGATATCTTCTCTAAATATCACAGGTGACCTACTAGAATAGTGCTACCTTAAAAAATATAAGAGAGACAGAAATATGAGCCATACATGTGATCGTAAATTTCCTGGTATGTATAATAATTAAAAAAACTAAGGTAAATAAAGTCAATATATTTTAGTGAAGTCGATATGTATATTTTCAACATATTAAATATAAAGATAATGAAACAATTTTCTTTCGTAAACTAATATACCTAAAATAAGGACAGTGATACTACCTATTAACATTTAATGTAGGAAAACAAAACTAAAGTGTGCAATGTCAGGTTTCCCCTACCATCAGAAAGTTTAAGACAATTCAGATTGTGCAAAAATATTTGCAGAATATACTAAACAAAGTACTTTTACCTCTAACACACAGCAAACACTTACCAAAAAAAGTAAGACATCCAAAAGAAAACCTCTTGGAATAGGTAACTTGACAAATGAGGTCCTTAAGATGAAAATTAGTTAATAGGGAAATCAAGGAAATGCAAATTGAGGCTACTTTTACTGCAACAGGTAAACCAAAAACAGTATTTAGGGTGATGAGGAACTGAGCTTTCTATCATATGCTGTTCTCAACAATGCGGAGTATAACCACTTTGAGGAGAAGGTAAGGACATACTTTAAAGATAAGATTATAAGTGATGAAATTAAATCTAACTATTATCAAAATTCTCCACGATAACTTTATGATCAATAAGCCAATGCCTCAGCAGATATAGAACAGCCAGATAACCTGCTGCTTTAACAACACTGCATTAATTTCACCTCATATTTTTAAAAAAACCTGAAATAAAACACTTTCATGTTGGATTTCGATCTATTTCATAAAAAACAGAGTGACAAAAGGCTCTTCTGCCTTACCTGGCACTGATGTACATCTACTTCCAAGAAAACTGCCTGTGGATACTTATTACTCATAGAACTGAATGCTGGAGCAATCCTCAAACACGGTCCACACCTGTGAGAAAGACAGAGCTATATTCAGAAAAATAATATAAACACTGTACTAACTTATGCTATAAAAGCATTTATCAGGTTAAATAAAATAAGGCAAACTGATATTCTTGGCTTTAGGCACTCTAATATATCCATCTGGGTCATTTATAATACTGATAAACACCAATATCGCTTTAATGAGTACAGAAACAATATTAGGTCTCAGGCTTAAGACTGTAAAATCTTTCTGTTTTGTTCTCATTGAAAGAATATAGCTGGGCAGTGGTGTACAGCTTTAGTCCCAGCACTCGGGAGGCAGAGACAGGTGGATCTCTGTGAGTTCCAGGCCAGCCTGGTCTACAGAGCGAGTTCCAGGACAGCTAGGGCTGTTGTTACACACAGAAACCCTGTCTCGAAAAATCAAAACTAATAAACAACAACAACATAAGAATACAAAGGAAAATAAAGAGATGTCTATAAACTGAAAAAAAAAGTCAGTGTTGTCAAGAAATCAATCCTCCTTGACTAGGATTAATATACAATCCCAAAATTTTTAAAATATAACTAACAAATTTATACTCTAACATTTATGGGGAACATCAAGGACAACCTAACCTGAGGTTAAAAGCTTTAAAAAAATTAAGAAAGACCTATCATAAAGCTTTACTAATTAACAACACACAATGAATTAGGTTGAACATGTTATTTGAAAACTTTTAGAATTCAAAACGACCCTAAACCCCAAAACTGGATATTATATCAGCCCTCAAAAAGTGTGGATAACAGAGCATTCAAAAATTTCAAATGTTCAGATTTGAGACATTTTCCTGGTAGAGTCTATGTATGTTAACTATTCCAAACCCCAACAAACTCTGAAGGGTGAAACACTCTGAACTCACACATGTCAGGAAACGAATAAACAGCTCGTAACCTAACACACCTAACACAATCAATCACCATCTAAGAACTAAAAAACAAAGCTCAGTGTGTGAGTGCAAGCCATTAATCCCAGCACTTGGGAGGCAGAGGTAGGTGAATTCAAGACCAGATTGTCTACACAGAAACTCAGGCATCATTAACATATGAGGCAATTTTAAGCAGTCTAATATATATGAAACTACTGAAAATAAAGATATTTGAAACACTATGTAAAATAATCTCAAATTTCATAAAAATATAAAATAAGTATAATCAAAGATTGAGCAAAAGAAAAAGAATAAAGGCAAGTGGGGCAATGAAGAATATAGCAAACAGACCAACTCTAATTATACCACTAACATTATAAGTAAATAACTTAAAAAACCAGCTGAAAGTCCCCCTTCTGCTTTCTATTCTGGGGGTGGGGAGGGAATCAGTGATATTGAAGATGGCTAGTAGCTTTGTTATGAGTTTGAGTCTCATTTGGCTATAAAACAAACCTTATTGGAAAATATATGGAAACAGGGAATGAGCAACCTCTTCCCTGGTGTTGAAATATGTCCCAGCTGGTCTCTGGTCTGGTTTGTAGAGATTCTGTTAGTTGAATGCTATAAAGGAGAATGGCTTTTTGGATTGTGCCAGCATAGCTAGCATTGTTAACCAACTGTAGCAGGCTCTGCAAATAAAAGATCTTGAACCACCCCCCCCCCCCCAAAAAAAAATCCCGGGCTGGAGAGATGGTACAGTGGTTAAGAGAGCACTGGCTGCTCTTCCAGAGGTCCTGAATTCAATTCCCAGCACCCATATGATGGCTCACAACCATATGTAATGCATGCCAGGCAGTCAGCCTTTAATCCCAGCACTGGGAGGCAGAGGCAGGTGGATGAGTTCAAGGCCAGCCTGGTCTACTAGAACTAGTTCTAGGACAGGTTCCAAAGCTACAGAGAAACCTTGTCTTGAAAAATCACACACACCAAAAAACGCACCACCATATGTAATGCAATCTGCTGCCCTCTTCTAGTGTGCATGAGGACAGAGCCCTCATGTACATAAAGTACACAAATAAGTTTTTTTTTTTGTAAAAAAGAAAATAAAAAACCAATTATGACTAAGTGTGGTGGTGCACACTTTCCATTCCAGCACTGGGGAGGCAGAGGGAGGCTGATCTCTGCAAACTGGAAGCAGCGTGTTCTAGGGCATCCTCAGCTACATAACAGAGAGACCCATCTCAAAAAACATACAAACAGAACTGAAGGTCAAAAGTTAAGTAAGCTGTTCAAAATCCAACATTCTAGTTAGCAAAACAGCCAGCCACAGGTAGGGCAATTTATAAATCCAATCCAATCCCAGTTCTTTTAAAAGAATTACTGAGTTTTTATTAATAAATAAAAATTTCCTTGCAGCTCTAATATTAAATGATATTCACAAACCTGTTAACTTCTTTCCTGCCTTCTACAATAGCCACTGCTCTTATCTTCAGTAAAGCTTGTGTAAACATATATACAAACATGGATAAAGAAAATGAATGCACCCTGTAACGTCTCATTTCGGAAGGCTTGTTTTTCCAGAGAGGATAACTTTCATTCAGGCCATTTCTGAATGTATTGTTGTTACTAAAACACAGTTATGTCCATAACTGGTTCTGTAAATCACATAAAATATTTATTTTAATAAACGTTACTAATAAGATAATATACTTTGGCCACTTGTGACATTTCACAATTAACAAAAACGCTAATTCTGGTCACCCCATTTAACATTTTACACCAGCCAAGAACAAGGCTAGGGGAAAGCTCAGTAGCAGATCGTTTGCCTAGCATGTGTGAAGCCCTGGGGCCAATCCCCAGCCAAAAAATAAAAACTCCAAAGAATAACGTCCTAGACTCTAACTCTTTAACCATTTTCAAAAGTCCACAACAGATCTCCAGCATTTAGTTGCTGTTCTTTATAAAGCAATGGCTCTACTACATGCTCTTCAAGAAACCATATACTCTTGAAAAGAGTAAGACTACAAAATACAATTCTATTTTCATATAGTTTAAGTTAAGGCAAAACTAACAGTGTTAGAATCCAAAAGTGATGGGAAGGAGCCCAAGGATGCAAGAACCTGGGACTGTTAATGATGATGTACTTCTTATACTTAGTGTTGGTTATAAAGATGAGGTCCCTTGAAAAATTTATCCAGGTACATATTTTAGTAGTTAGTGTACTTTTGAATATTAATCATCAAAAAAACAAACACCACTAGCATCCTTCCTGAATGGTAACTGATACCTAACCAGTTACAAAATAAGGCCCGCTATAAGAAAACAAAATACAGGGTAAACTGTCTATAACAGGAAGATCTGACTTACTGGGGGAAAAAGTGATATACTCACAATTTCGAGATAAAAATCATTCCTATTATACAAACGGGGGAGAAACCATACGTTCTTTTAGGTTAGTAACCAAAACAATAGAACAGCACTGTTGATAATTATTCTGGCCATATTTAAGAAGCAACTATTTAGAGACAGTATTTTGAAAATCTTATCAGAATAGGAAATTTTTAAAATGCCTTTTTAAAGATTTATTTTGTGTGTTTTGCCTGCATGTATGCATGTATGTATATATACCACACTGATGTCTGATGGACTTGGAGGCCAGAAGAGGGCATCATATCCCCTGGAGCTGGAATTACAAGTGGTTGTGAGCTACCAATGTGGGAGCTGGGAATTGAACCAGGGTCCTTTGAATGAACAGACCATGCTCTTAACTGCTAAGCCATTTTTCCAGTCCCCAGAATAGATATTAACATATAGAATTAATTCTCTTAACAGTACAAACAGGTCAATTTAGTCTCATCTTGTCAGGAAAATATAAGAGAATAAACTGGATTGTTGTTGGGGTATAATGTTAAGATTATAATGCAGACAGACTTGTAGTTAATTTGTTCAGAGCAATCTGTATTAAAAATGAATTAAAGCAGAGATTGAAAAAGATGTAATATGCCAATGTCCACAGCAGTTTTCATTATTTTTAATAAGCAAGCACAAGTGTCCACCCAGACAAATGGATAAAATGGTACATACACACAATGGGATATATTTGCAATCCTGATGCATGCTATGCTACAGATGTACCTTGAACGCATGCTAAGTGAAATGACCAAGAAGTATACATTGTTATGGTTGCACTCACATAAGATGGATAAATTGGCCAATTCCCAGAGACAGAAAGTGCAGTGAAGGCTACCAGGGAAGTAGGTGGGTCTGGGGAAGGTGAGGTCTCACAGGTTTGCTCTTCTGGAGAAGTGAGGATGGGGAGTTACCACTTAACAGGTTCGGTTTCTGCTTGGGATGATAAAGCCATTTTAGGATATAATGGTGATGACGACGTACTACTGTGAGTGTACATAATACCACTACGTTAGATTCTTTCAAACTGCTAAAGTGACTGCATATGGAGGTGAACACCCATAATTCCAGCATTCAGAAGGCTATGGCAGGAGGATCACAAGAGGCTAGTCTGATCCTCAAAAAGAAAAAAAAAAGTAAAATCAATGTTATGCCCTATACATTTTACTCTAAAAAGAAAAATGGGGCTTGGGGTGTAACTCAGTGGTAGTGTGCCTGCCTAGTATGTTCAAAGACCCTGCACAAACACTGAAGAGTTCTTGAAAATTTCTTGAACAAAGCAATCTATACACTGCTTGAGGAAAATTAATTTAGACGAATAGTTGATAAGCTATGTGCAATTTAGCTTAAAGTACAACATTGAAGTGAAAAATCAGATATTAGAAAAAATTATGCCCTTAACCTAAAATGAGGTAACATTAGCTTTCCCTGAGCAGTTTAGACAGACTTTATTGGACATGGTTATTTGCAAGTCTGGTATAAATAAAGCCAGTTACGCTGCCAATGAGCTCAGGGTGGGATGAATGCTAGGACTGCCCATGTTTAAGAAACGTGAAGAATATTTGATATTTTAAAAGTAAGAAAAAAATGTTAAGGGTAAATACAACCTTACTAGATTCATAAATGTTACTTCAATACTCTTTTAAACTAAAAATGCGATCTAATTGTAAGCACTAACTTGCCTTCAGTTTTCACAAAACTGTTATTTTTATTGCACTGAGTCACTTAACAGTAAGTATAATCTAGCTCTTTACCGCTCAATCCCCATGCGTGTGTTAATCACGCAGCAGCCCTGTCCCTCACCTTCCTCAGGTCAATCTAGCTGCTCATTACTCTGCCCCTGGTACGGTGAGGGGGACAAATCACTGAACCACAAAAGCGCAAAAGCTCCAACTGACCAAGATTAGAAGGACGGACTAAAAATGAGAGGCCTTGAAGCCATCGCCCTCTCCTCTGCTGTAGTCTAGCCAACAAATGTGCAGGTACTCTCCTAGTACAGAAGCTACAAAACGCGACAACATCGCTAAAGCTCGGACACGTTTCTAGAGTTCCGACATTCCCTTGAGACTTGTCTTACTATATACGCCATGGCCCAAGCTCTTCCATTTAAGTATCATGTCATGTGGGTACTCTATTTCCCGCTATTAATTTATGCCCCTTTCCAGTTCTCGGGAAGACCGGCTCAAAACAAACACCAACAGAACCCCTCTTAGCTGTTTTCATGTCTATTTGTACCCCAATCGCCCGACGCTATCTACATTTGTATGTCCTCCGGGATTAAAAAACAACACAACTAACAACACGCACAAGAAAACCTGTTACTGGCCAGGCGATGGTTGTGCACGCCTTTAATCCCAGCACTCGGGAGGCAGAGAGGCAGGCGGATCTGTGAGTTCGAGACCAGCCTGGTCTACAGAGCTAGTTCCAGGTCAGGCTCCAAAGCCACAGAGAAACCCTGTCTCGAAAAACCAAAAAAAAAAAAAAAAAAAAAAAAAAAAAGAAAACCTGTTACATAAACAGTAGTACTGGGACTAGATTACTCCAAGTGCGTAAAAACTGCCAGGTGCTCAAACGAAGATCTCTAAACTTCCTAACTACGTACCACCTACATAAAAGAGCTCTGTAAATACACGCTGAATTTTGGCTCTTAGGGCCTACTTCCTATGTACATATAAGAACATTATTACACACCCGATAAGCGATCCACCAGTTTTGTGTCTTTTACACTGTGACTTTATCCAAAGACAATTAACATCTTTTCAGATCTCTATCATCTAAAATCATTAAGTTTATAAGGTAATTTGGGTCAGGAGGTGATGGCGCACGCCTTTAATTCCAGCACTTGGGAGGCGGAGGCAGGTGGATCTCTGTGAGTTCAAGGCCAGCCTGGCCTACAAGGGCTAGTTCCAGGACAGGCTCCAAAGCTGCAGAGAAACCCTGTCTCGAAAAACCAAAGGGGGGAAAAAAAGGTAATTTGGTCACCACAGAGGCCTGTCCAACCGGGGACGTGTATACACTGTCTCGAAAAAGAAAAAAAAATGGAGCCTAAGACAATACCAAGCATGGTACAAACATGTTGTGCACATGAAAAAACATTATGTCCCATTAACTTAATTCAAAAGGCACCAACTACGCCTTAAGACTACGTTATTCGGACTAGATGGGAAGCCACAGCTGCATCTTCCAAAGGCTTTGCAGAAACGCAGGCGAAGAGAAAGCAAAGCGTTTGGAAAATTAAGCCTTGAGAAATACGAAAATGCAAGCGATCGCTGGCTCTTCCAAAAGACAGGAACCGGCGCAGGCAGCTGAGGCTGGGACTCCCACAAGCTGGAAGAAGTCGCGGGCCGCCCCCAAGAGCAGAGCACATCTGCGAATTTCAAGTCGGTGGGTTGGCATGTCCTGAGCCGCCGAGAGCCAGCAGAATGATCCCTGCGCCCGCCCGGACGCCCCGGATGCACATCTGAGACCCGCTCCCTAGAGCCGAGGCCTAAGCCCGGCAGCGGCCTGGGCTGTGGTCACCGCCGGACATTCCAGAGCAGAAGCCGACAGGAGAACCGGGACCCGGAAAACGAGGCGGGGTTGGGGGAAAGGGACCCACAGAGGAATACCAACAGGGCCCAGATTCAGCCTCACCCTCTCATGGTGAACTTGACCACAGCAAGTCGGGAGCCCGCCCCACTCAGCTCCGGCTGGAAATCTGGATCGCTGCCGACCGGCTTCACTCCCACCATCCTCACAGAGAGCCCGGCAGGGCGGCCGCGACGCTTCCGGCTTCAAAACTTAAAAAGAAAGGCCGAGAGAGGCCCGGGAAGGGCTGCGGGAGGCCGGGGCCTGGACCGGAGCGGCGACCACGACGTGTCGTCCCCGGAGCTCGGAGTGCCGAGTCACGCCAGGGAGCAGACGAGCCGAGGGGGAGGAGACCGGCAGGGAGGGGAGCGAGAGGGACAAGGCGCGCAGCACCCAGCAGCCACCGCGCGGAGGGAGCCTCGGCGCTGGAGCGTTCGACGTCATTTCCGCGCCTTCCGTTTGCCTGCTCAGCTGAGCTTTGCGCTACCGGAATGGCGCAGGCGCGGGCGCAGACACGAGCACAGGCTGTGAGAGTGGGCGGTGCCGCTGGCGGTTTGAAATTGATTCCCTAGCTTTGCTGACCTGATGTTTCGTTTTGTATTATTATTATTATTTTTGTTGTTGTTGTTATTTTACTGAGGATGGACTCGGGGAGACTGGGCGGCGAAGGGACTCCCTCCCCCTTTTTCCATCGTGGGCCCATGGTTGCTGCCTAAGGCCATAAGGCAACCTTTTGCAAGAATTTTGACAGTGATCCTGTGTTCTATTCTGGCCAATTCCCCACGCACAAAATTGATGTTAGAAACGTTTCTTTAAGGATTTCATTACATAGGGGTGCTCACTGAGCGGTCATTCAGAAAGTATTATGTATCCAAATTCGACAAAAACGAGACAGTGGCATTTCTTCAGGAAGCTGGAGTCCAGTGACACACAACATAGACAAATTTAGATAGGAAAGTTGGAAACAAGATGAACTTGTGACAGAAAGTAAAGGATGAAATGTCACTTCGGAATTCAATCAGTGGGTTTAAAAGGGGGGGGGATGCCAGAGGGTTTGGAGTGGGAGGGATGTTCAAGCCCACTATACAATAGTTAGTTAATACAGCCAGCTGGAGCTGTGTTAACAGAATACCACAGAACAAGTGGCTTACACAAAGTACAACTCTCATGGGCCTAGAAACTCGAAGTCCAGAAGAGAGGGAACTGGTAGAAACCAACAAGAATTAATTTCCTGGGGTCCTGTTTATTTTTAGGTGACTTCCTTTGCCTTGTTGATTCGCATATGCACAATACAGGCTCATCTGTTCCTTTTCTTAGAAAGATACCAGTTTTATGAAGTTAAGACAGGATGGCTAATTATGGAAGGGGAGAAGGAAAACCCTCCCTCCTTTTGTCCTGAGTCTATCACTGGCTAATACCCAGGTGTTTTTGAAGTAAGTGACTAGGCCACAGATCAAATAACGACCCCCTTTCTGAGACACTTCACAAACCCAGATTGTTAAAGCCATGCAATGACACCACCAACAAACACACGGAGAAGACATCATGGGCACACTCCCATTTCCAATAGCATTTTAGACAGCAAAATATCTTTATGTAAACATAGCCAAGGAGGTGAAAGACCTCTACAATAAAAACCAAAAATCTCCGAGAAAAGATATTGAAAAATACACTAAAATATGGGACGGTATCCTGGGTTCATGGGTCAGAGGAATTAATACAGAAAAATGACCACCCTACAATTTACAGGCCCAATGCAATCCGAATCAAAATATTCACAACATTCTTCACAGAAATCTGAAAAAAAATTGTAAAATTCATAAAAAGTCAAAAACACCACAGATTGAGCAAACTGAGCAAAAAGAATACTAGAGGATTTCCAGATGTCGAGATATATAATCAAAACCAATATATTGGCACAAAAAATATACATGCACACTAAAGAAACAAAATACAAGACTCAAGCATGGGCATTCATAACTACAGTCACTGGAGGCAAGAGGTATACACTGAAAATAAGACAGCATTTTTTTTTTTAATTTTTCGAGACAGGGTTTCTCTGTGGCTTTGGAGCCTGTCCTGGAACTAGCTCTGTAGACCAGTAGACCAGGCTGGTCTCAAACTCACAGAGATCCACCTGCCTCTGCCTCCTGAGTGCTGGGATTAAAGGCGTGCGCCACCATGGCCCGGCCAAGACAGCATCTTTAACAGAAGAAAACAGACAGGTCTTCCCTGAGATACAGGTGTAGGAAAGGACATTCTGAATCGGGTACCATTTGCTAAGGAATTAAGGTCAACAATCAAAAACTGGGGGCTCAACACTAAAAAGCTTCTGTTCATCAAAAGAAACAACTAATCGAATGAAGAAATCTACAGAATTTGCTGGTTTATACATCAATCAGAAGATCAATATCCAGATACACAAAGCTCAATACACAACGCAAGGAAATCAATGACCCAATTATAGAATGGGCTAGAGAGATCTAAACATGGAGTTCTTAATAGGAGAAACAGAGAGTGCTGCCACAGGTTCTGTGACCTCCAAACAACTTATGCCATTTTCTAATTCATGTCCTTCTCTTCCCTTGCCTTTTCTTCTTTCTTTCTTTTTTGACTTTTTTTTTTTTTTTTTGAGACAGGGTTTCTCTGTGAATCTTTGGCTATCTTGGAACTCCTTCTGTAGTCCAGGGTGGCCTTGAACTCACAGAAGTCAGCCTGACTCTGCCTCTCTGAGTGCTGGGATTAAAGGCAAGTGCCGCTATCACCCGGCCCTTTGCCTTTTCCTAGCTAGGAATAGTTATAACTCCTGGCTGTCAACAGTACTGGGAACACTGGCCTGGACACCTGGCTTGCTGGTAGAAGTGCAATGTGTCTAGATGAGAGAATACTGAATTGGGCATCTCACATTCACATTAGAGACTCTCTGCTCAGTAGAGTGTCAACAGATGCCTATAGGGAGAGGGGGGACTTGGACAGTCTGATTCCTTAAGAGGCCCGCTATGCCTCTAGAATGCACCACTGAACTGCTTAGCACTAACACAACTGGGAAGCACAAATACTATAGCTAGCTAGTGAGCTCAAAGACTCACTTTCCTGCTACAAGTAGAGGTCGTTTGGTTTTAAAATTCAGGGCTGCTTTTCTTTTCCCCTATTATCACTCCCACAGAGACCAGGAGTGTGTTACCCTGAGTCCTTTTGAAAGTTTTGAAACGGGTTTTCTCCATAGCCCTGGCTGTCCTGAAGCTAACTCTTGTAGACCAGGCTGACCTTTCACTCAGAGATCTGCCTGCCTTTGCCTCCTGAGTACTGGGATTAAAAGCAAGAGCCACCACTGTCTGGTCCACTTGGGTTTTTAAAAATCATATTTATTTATAAATTTTGTGTGTATATATGGAAGCCCATGTTCTACAGCGTGTCTGTAAAGTCCAGAGGACATATAGTGGAAGTCAACTCTCTCCTTCCTCCATATGGACAAGTTCCAGGGATCACACTCAGAGCAGCAAGCTTGGAGGCAAGCACCCCATCCATTGATCCATCTTTCCATGCACAGTCACTCATTTTTGATGTGGTATTTTTTTTTTTATTTTTCAACTCTGTCTTACATTAAAAAAATTTTAAATGTGTAAATACCATTTGGAGTCTGGAAGATTAGAAAGAATTTTGCAGATAAAGATATATGAAAATTTCCAGGATAGAAGTCACAGTTGAAATTATGAATGTTGATGATCTAATCAATAAGTAGAAAAGGTTATAATGGGAAGTTAAGGACAATTATACAGGGAGTAAAAACAAGGGGCGTTAAGAAAGAAAGAGGAAATTGGAACATGATAAAAGTCAAGGGCCCGAGACCAAAAATATGAAGACCGAGAAACACCCTTGAAAGTAGTGAGGTTTCAATAGACTGTCATACAAACAATCAATGCAATTCAACGAATTATAAGTAGAATCAGCTTACCATCCAAAGTGAATTCGTTAGAGCTTGAAGCTTCCGAAGTAAAAGCTCATTGCATATTCCTATCTTAGAGGAGGTGAACTATTGTGAGCACCCTTTACAACAAACCACAAAGGCAAGCAGAATGGTTGTTATGTCTATTTATTTTATTGGTGAAAAAAAACCTGACAGATAAACTTGCATCTGTGTATTTCTCTATGCGCTACACTCTGGGTTACACAGAAACCAACATAACATATTCATGGAACCTTAGCTTTTCTAACTTACCCCTTTCTTGCCTGAATGTCTTCATAACTACAAGTATTATATACAATAATAAATATGCAAACCAAGATATGCATGATAATTATAAAAAGAAATCCAGACAGCTGAAACAAATATTATATTAACAAGTAATTAGGCTTTCTGTATCAAATAATCCATCATTTATCTAAGCAAAATAAGCTTTGATGGGTGAACTTTTCAAAAACATGTCATCATTTTTTCTATCAATTTACATAAGCCTTTTGGTTTCATATTTCCTAGAATTTCCAAGAAAATTTGAGAAGAATCCACTAGACTCAAATCCCACATGAGGATAATTTAAGGCTGTATTCTCGGGACTGGAGAGATGGCTCAGCGGTTAAGAGCATTGCCTGTTCTTCTTCCAAAGGTCCTGAGTTCAATTCCCAGCAACCACATGGTGGCTCACAACCACCTGTAATGAGGTCTGGTGCCCTCTTCTGACTAGCATACATGCAGACAGAATATTATATACATAATAAATAAAATTAAATAAATATTAAAAAGACTGTATTCTCAAATGGATGTGGATTAGTCTCACCACTCCTCAAGGAAACATTTTCAGAGATTTCTAGAGTGATGCATACCACACCCAGTGCCCATTCCTTCCTCATTTCATATGGATGTTGAGAGTCAATTTTCTGTGGGCTCTACAGTCAGCAGTACCCTCAACTGAAACTTCTCACACCCACACTTCACTATTATTTGGTCTGGGTTACCTCACTCAATACGACTTTTTCTAGTTCCATCCATTTACGTGAAAATTTCATTTTTTTTTAAAAAATAGCTGTATACGTACCACATTTTCATTATTCATTCATCAGTTTAAATTCATTGGTTGAATGGACCATTTTGGTTTGTATTTCCCTGCAATTGTGGACAGAGAAGTAAAGGACATGAATGAAAAAAATAACACTGGAGTAGGTTTTCAAGTCTTTGGGCATATGCCAAAGCGTGGTACAGCTGGGTCATATGGTGGATTTACTTTTTTCTTTTTGAGAATTCTCAACACTGATTTCCAGAGTGACTGGAGTAATTTCTTGCCCACAACACAGAACCAGACAGAGAAATTACTGAACTCCATGAATAGAGGAAGTC